AGGAAGTGACTCAGACTGCCACCAACAGTGTTTTCTATATGCTTGACTATGTGAGACATGAGAAATGCTAAAACTTTCTCTGCTGGTGCACAGACAGCATACACAGCACTGGTCTGTGTGAACATTTATTGCCTACACTTGTCCTATAAAGCTATTTGTGCCATTTTAAGTCATTTTAAAAGCAAAATTCTAAATATAACATAAGAGCAGGGTAAAGCTGACATGGATAAGAAGTCACAAGCTAAAGGCATGAGTTCAATGTGGTTTGCTGAAAAGAGGCCAACTTGCTGGTTGTGGTGCTAAACACTTACCTTTGTTTTGGGTGAGGTCTTGTTGAACCGCCTGCATTTCTGCTTATAAGATCTCTGCACTTTTAGAGCTTGGTTGAAACAAAAAAAACATTTTAATTTTACGTAACTAAACTAGTGACTTAATAAATACCAGTGAGATAGAGATCATCGTGACAGAAGCTGGGTTTGTTAAACTTTTCAGTGGTGGTTTCATAAGACACTCAAAGCATTTCTGCGATGTGCTAACTGGAGTGCGCAGCTTTTGTCAAAACAAAAATGAACTGGATGCTCTTTTTCAGTGGCACATACATGCAGTCACTGTTGTAGGTTTACCTTTTGGTTTGGTGTGCGGACTTCCTGGACCGTTCACTGCTGGACTACCTTGAGTGTCTCCAAACCCCTCTTTGTCTTCTTGCTTTGGAGTCCCAATGTCAAACTCAATTCTTGTGGAACAAACAGGTGTTGTGGGTGCTTTCTTAAGAGCTTTGTGTTCCCTCACACTCACAAAGGGTCTTCCTGACTCCGGCCCTTTAGAGTGTGTACTTGTTTTAATGATTTGTCCTGTCTGTTGGCACACAATCCAGCGGTCTTTCTGAACTTCTGTTAACTGACGTTCCTGACAAGCCGTTTTTAAGCTGGGCACTCTGATGGGTCTGGTTCTTGACAGTCTGCTCCTTGAACCCTGGATCAGTACCTTTAAGTCATTATCTGCCCTGGCCTTGTCTGTCCTCCTCTGGCTGCTCCTCGTCTCTACCTGCTGAAGACTCACTCTTCCTTTACGCTTGCCTTCATAGCCTCCATCTGTCAATTCAAATGAAATTTCATTTTTAACAAATACGTTTGTCACAATCTTGTTTTTTGGAGCTTTGGAGTAACTTGAGTAACTGTTTTCATTCTTTAATTCTGCACTCAGCAGCATCACAGACTGGCAGCTGATTGTGTATTCTGAATTTGAGTAAGCGGAATTCAGACCAAAAGCACAGGGTCACTTTCAGGTTCCAGTGAGATAACCTAATACCATCCTGAAAGAAACCACAACGGCAAAATACCACGCAGTCACTGACAATTGGACAAGAATGAAACCCAACTCTCACACAAACATGGGTAAGAGGTTGTTCATTAAAAAATTAAAATCTGCATCTGGGACAATCTACTCAAGCTGCAGGGACGGTGTGTTTGTGATGATGTGCAGTGCTTGGTGTCCGCCAATCACACCATCTAATGCGATGGTCAAAAAGCTCCATTTTGGTCTCTCAGACCAAAGAACTGTTGACTTCAGAGTCTCCCACATGCCTTCTTGTGAACACTACTTCAAGTTAAATATGAGCTTTTATCAGCCAGTCTCTCATAAAGCTGTGGCTGGTGAAGAACCCAGACAAAAGTTGCATGAACAGTCTCTCCCATCTCAGCAAATGAAGCTAGTAAATCCCTCAGTGGAGTCATAGGTGTCTTGGTGGCCTCCCTCACTTGTCTTTCTTGTACTCATTGTTTGCGGACAGCTTGCTCTGGGCACATTCTTTTATTTCTTAATGATAGATATATCTGTACTCCAAGGGATATGAAGTGACTTGGAGGTTTTCTTGTATGCATCTCCCTTGTATCGCTATGCTTTTCAGTAACATTTTAACGTAGTCACTTGGAGGGTTCTCTTGCCTTCATGGTTTGGATATAGCCATCGGGTTATCATCAGTTGGCTGCACCTGTGTTGAATTCAGTGAGTCCATTTAAAGAGGGTGAATCCCAATTACTTTTTAAAATATTTTTAATTATTTGGCATTACTGAAAATCTGTTTTCACTTTGACATGAAATAGTCTGTTTTTGTGAATTCCTTTCAAAAAAGAAACTGACCATGATTCAATGTTGGAAATAAAAGGGGGGAGGGGAAACTTCCAAGGTGGCTGAATACTGTCTGTAGGCAGTGTTTCTGATTACCTAACACGGTACCAGAGTTGCTACGTGATTGTTTTTGCTGGGCCACACTACATTTTTGTTCTCATTGAAATGGACAACCACAAAAACCTCCCTACAACTTACATTTAGCAGTTTTAAGTGGTGCAGTTACCAATGTGACGCTGAGCTCAGACACAGGAAGAAGTGTTTGGGGAGGTTTTCACAGCAATATTCATCTTTTCATTGAAATTGTGAAACTTGTTAAAAGGGAAGTGGTTGACTTTTTTCACATAGTGCTAGCGTACCCCCTAAAGTTCAGCTCAAGTCAAGTATGGAACGAAGTCCTTCAAGCGCATGCGTGCGGACCAGAAAAGTAATATAAAACAACTACGCATCTGTGGTGTTCACAACTGTCCCAATGCAAGGAAGTATAACCAAGGCCTATCTGCGATCCTTCAGTAAATAGGACTTTTTATTCCCCCCATCGTACAATGTGAAATGCTGCAGTGTCTTCGCTCACCCCAAGTGTTTGTCCTTGATTTCTCCTCCTGCGAAGTGGTTTAGAGACGCTACTCATCCTCTGAGACACTACTAGACAGCCTTCTTTTGACAGGACTTTTGCTGCTGCTTGATGTATTGATCTTCTGATGGTGCGCTCACTCTTAGTCTGTCTAATTGTGCCTTGGATACAACTAATCCAGTTCCCGCAAAGTGTTTTAGAGTGCCACGTACTGCCCCCTTAGAAACCTTCAATCACGATGTGACGTTGAGAAAGCCCCTCTTTTGCTTAGAATAGCAATTTGACTTTGTGTGTTTTTAAATGTTTTTCAAACCTCCAACTTTCTGATTATTTTCACATTTACACAAAAATATAATTTTCGATGTGACTTTTGGAATCTACTGCATATGGATATCTATTCTTATTTCCCATTTGATTAAATTTTTTTTATTTTATTTTAGCTGAGCTTCTCTTCAATATTTCCACGGCAACAGCAGAAGGACCCCCTGGTGTGGACTTACCACAGTTGGGAATCATTTTTGTAGTTCATCAGTGTGGCTGGTCTACAATCACAACATTAACAAGTGTTTTTTAGGTAAAGCACTTGTCTGGAAAAGTTGTGAAAAAAGAGAAAGTTTGTACGTCACTGTAAACTTTTAATGGTCATTTTATGCAGACAGAGTGCTGACCGTTCCCAATGCCAGAATTTAATTTGGTCCAACAGCACCAATCTGTGAGCTTACACTTTATGTGGATATTGTGCTTTTTCTGTTTCATTTCTACTTTGTGAATTTGGCTTCAGTGTATTTTAAACAAAAATGTTTTCTTAGTGTAGCTTTAATGATTTGGTTGGAGAAAAAAAAAAGGCTGAATTAGGTTAATGGCAAAAAACAGTCATTCACAGCCATTACTGAATGTTTCAGTAATGTGGGCTCCCTATTAAGTGCTTTTAACACACATTCGCTGGCCTCTCCACGCTCTGACTTTTGATTATGTTAACGAGTGGTCATGCACGATTACATATACAAGAGTCCTAGGGAGGCAGCTGATGAGCACAGAAAGGCTTTAATGAAACACTTGTCTACTCTGCTCGTCTACGCAAATCACACATTGGTGAAGTTTGTCCTGTAATGAGACAAATCACATCAGTGTAATCATGTTTAATGTCATCGTTCTGTCTCCCTTCAACCTAGCTTGTTTGATGACTCTGCATTTAGCTTTGGCTTGATTTAATGACATCGGCTCCTCAGGCTCAGACAATCAAATATGGCCTTTAAACTGCTGATTACACACAGACTGCACTGCTCATGCTCAGGCCACAAATAATAGCTGTTTATCCCCCCAAAAAACTAAGTATAAAAGAAGAAGTTAAGATTTAAATGTTCTGCAATTATACAGACGTGAAATATCATCTAAGGAGCACAGCTAAGGAAGCTATACTGTAAATGACTGGTGACCTTTTTTTTTAACATCTACGAGTAGATTTATTTGAGAGCTCTATTAGGTCATGTACATGTCACATCAAGATTCTATATGTGAAGCAGTGGACCAATGTATAAAAACAGATGCATTATTATATTGTTGGTTAGATGACTCAACTGCATGACACTGGAAAAAAAAATGATATTGCGACATTTTGCTTTTCTATGATAGGAAAAAAAACAGGATTTTTCAGCTCTGGAAAGAATGAATACTTCTCAAAAGACTGAGGAGTGGACATGCAATAGAAAATAGAAGATCATTTTCAAAAGAGTTGAAAAAAGACATATGGAACCCTCTCATGTGCTGCGACCAACAGTTTTTCTCCTTTGGATTGCATTCAGATCTGGCTTTGCACTAATCATACAGATGTTTGTGGTGCTGGTTTAAAGGATTGAACAAATTAGTCGTGTTGTTTAGTGCCGCAGTGCAAGATATTCCAGACATATTACCTGTTTTTGATTCACGTCATACTTTTGGGAGCTGAATTATGGCAAGTACAAGTGATTCAACCCTGTGTCTTGTTATCAAAGTAAAAAAAAAAAAAAACAGTGCTCAACAATATATAAAGGATTGAAAATTAACTAAATCATCTCCAGCAACTAAAGTCGAGTCCTTTAAATGTGTTTTTTCTCATCAGTAATTCTACATTACGAGTACTTAAACTTAATTCCTAAAAGTCCGGAATTTTTTATATGTAAAATTGTAAATGCAGGACTTCTAACTGGTAATCTAGTATTGTTATATAGTGGTATTGTTATTTCTATCGTAATTGAAAGTGAGCCATTTAGACTGTAACTGAAGAACAAAATCATTGCAGAAAAGGAAAAAAAAACATAAATGAAATGCTGGCATTTAATTTTATTGTGACAGGAATGTACACAAGCTTATACCAAAGGTGAAGCCAGTGTATATCCACACACTAACACCGCTTTGGCTTACAGCATATAGTTACATAATTGGCAAAGAAATTGAAAATAATAAAGGTCCCGTCTTTGGGTGAAATCAGGCATGTCTAAACCATCCATGTTCCTCACCCATAATCTACAAACACATCATTAAAACACAACTAAATGATGAGGCACTTGTATAGAAACAAATGAGTTCCTGCTTTTAAATTTTAATGATTTGTTTAAACAGACATTCAATTAGTGAAGCAATTTCAATATTGTTGGTTCGTTGTGTGTTCTTTAACTGAGAACAGGCCTTAATAAGATGAGCTGTCACACTACATAAGAAGCTGATCCGAGATGGCTGAAGCCTCATCATCGACTGCCTGCGCAGTATTAGTGTGTGGGCTAATTGCCTGAGGCGGTTGTAACACACTGAGACACTTCACAACATAGTGTTTAGAAAATTCTGAAAGATCAGTTGTAAAATCTACAAATTTTAAGATTTTTAAATGGAATGAAGTGAATGTGGTATTTTACCTTGTGCTGCAAACTGTTTCACAGTCAATCTACTTGTAAAATTTGGAGGCAAAATCTTCGCAAAAATAATGTGCATTCAACACACCGTTCTCATAAAAGACATTCAGCTTTGTCCACACTATACTTGTGTCCAGGTTGTTAGTTACCTGTTGGAGTGCAGGGAGCTTTCTGCTTGGACCTGGACAGCCTGTGAAGCCTACTGCCTGTCTGTCTGCTCTGGGTTTCAACCTCCTCTCTCTCCTCACCTTGCTTCTGTCCTCTGATTTCTTCTTTCTGTCCCTGTGACAGCTCTGTGCTCTCCTTACTGACTGAAATAGCACTCTGTCCATCAAAACCAGAGGCTTGCCCTTGGGCCTGCTCAGAGCCAAAAAGTTCTTCTGACAGCAGGGCCGGGCTCTCTGTCCCGAAGACCATCCAGGGCGGCGACTCAGCCCTCACCTCTTTCTGTGGGCTACCGTTGTCTCCCTCTTCCTCGAAAAGTTCTGGAGTAAAGAAAATTGTCTGGTCCTCGTCATCTTCACCCGAATCGTCTGCTGTGGTTGTTTCACTTTTACACCGGGGAGGGGCTGTTACTGCAGAAGGCTCTGGAGCCCGACTGCTTGATTCCACATTGATTTCGCTGGAAATGTTTCCAGCCTCTTGTTTAAGACAAACCCCCTCAGTCTTTAATGGTGGAGAGGAGATCTGATGGTTCTCTTTGTCCTCACAATGACTGGATGTTTCCAAGTGCTGGCTGGAATTACCGGGTGCTCTTTTTTTAAAGATTGGCTTCTTAAAGCTGGTGCTGATGGGGCTGGAGGTGAAAATGGGGAACAGAGACTGAGCTGTTGTTTTCTGACGTGAGAGAGGCTCTGCTGGAGGAACACGCAGCGTCTTCAATCGTTCTGTATCAAGAAAGCAAAATTCAGATTTTATTTATTAAATCAGTGCACAGAAGATATTTTTCATTTTTAAAATAGCATATAACAGACAGAACAAACATGATAAGACTAACAAAGCAGCTTTTAAGTCTCACCATGAAATGAGACCGGCATAGAGTGTACCTTGGCTGCCAAGGCTGTTTTATTAAGAAAGATATAGTAAATGTGGGCATACGCTCAATATAACCCAAACAAAGGTCAAGGGGATTTAATTAAAAGCAACAGTCCAACATCTGCTCATCAGCTCGCTCCAGCGCCACTCAGGCACGCAAAAGACCTTACAGTAATGAGGCAAGCCACTCAACTGATCCCATGGCCCCCCCGCCCCCAACATCCACCCCCAACTACGAGGGGGTAGAGGGGTGGGGGTCTACTACCCTTCTACCACTCTATCCACCACACTCAATTCAACTGGGCAAACAGCTCAACCTTGTTATGACCCCAAAGACAATGGGTGCTCGCCAGGGCAATGTGCAAACACGTCACCTCAGCATATTTCTATGTGGTGATGTCATGCTCATACACCAAAAAATGATATGCACCCTTTGGTCCCTGCCTTTTTTAAGCACCACTGCTTTAAATGTCACAAATCACGGAAGAATAAGAAGTTAGACAAGGTCCCAGACAGTGGAAGCAGTAGAATTATATTGGCTAAAATATCTTTTGTACTCATTTATCAGAGGTTTGACCTTAAGACCATTTTTCACAATCCCATCAGTATGGACCCAATCTAAAATTGACACAGGAAAACAGTATTTTCCCTCCATAGGAACATGCCTAAGAAAAAATAGTGCTAAAGCTAAGTTAAGGATTGCTTCTAGAAAAAGCTTATAGTGTAAGGTGCAACTCTTCGTACTAATCATCCTGCCAAAAATCCACAAAATGACAAAATTCTGTGTTTTTCTTTTTGTCCATAACTTCTCAAGAAAATACCAAAACTAACAAGTACTGTGTGTCCAAAGGCAAATATACAGTACAATGCTCATAATGTTATACAGCTCCAGTGTTTTCTAAAAATGATTAAAACACATCAGTGGGCCACACTGTTGCACTACACATGCACACAATATATGCATGTACAATTCAGCATATATCATACTGTTCATGGAAATAGTGACTACAGGACCAAATATGTTAAGAAAAAAAAAACAGAATACCAGACATGTGAAACCAGGTCGTAAAAAAATGTCTTTAGTGCAACAATGAGTGAGAAGTGTTTAGAATTGTTCTGAACAGCCACACTTGGTAGTTGTAATGTAAAATCTGTCATGATAGAAGAGTAGATTCATTATTCAGATATTAATAGTGCTGCACTTGGTGGGTTACATGATAGATGCCACAAATAGCTGGTTAACAAATGGAAAAGAGTGCTACAGAGAGAAGTACAGTCCTCCCTGTCTCACCTCCACAGCTCAGCAGTCACTGCATGAAGTGGGTGTGAATGTCAGATTATCTGGTTCGGAAATAGTTAGAGAGAGACGCATCCGGAAAAATATCAGGTGAGGGCGTTTCCGACACTATCCCACAATCAAACAAGCTGTTTGAAAGGATTATCAAGTTTACGTCAGACTGAAAGCCACAGACACATTGTTGGTTTGGCTTTTTATGGGATTTGTTTGCTAGTGACAGGCTGTATTTTACTTTAGTAGAGCTGTTGTTTTTGGACTGCTACAGGTTCAAACGCTATCGTACCACGATGTTGAGAATAACTAAAGGAGCAAATGATATCAGGCAAATTCTTTACAGCAGCCCTTTTTTAAATCTGAGATGCAAAACTATATATATATTTTTTTACAAAGCTTTACAGTGCATAGATACCAAGAAAAAAAATATTTTAACAACTATTTCTCCAGTGGTTCAAATTTAAGCCTCTTATCACAAATTCATGAGAAACATTGTTAGATAAGCCCTAATAAAGAGGGAAGAGAAATATATATATATATATAGATAACATAATATACAACATTGAGGTCCTGGATAAAACTTAACCCTCTGGACCCAAAAATCTGCCTGTGGGTTTCTTTAAATTACAATTATTTGAATTGACAAAATGGCACCATTGATTAGGAACTGTAAAAGCAGAAAGAACTGTCAGATTTTCAGCTTCCTGACAGTCCTTAAGCTAGCGTGTGACATGCAGCTCCATTGTGAAAATTAACCAAATCTAAGCCTAAAATCACCATATTTTACAAAAATCACTCTCTACTTCATGTGCCATTTAAAGGTTCACCTAAAATAAACCACATGCAAAATGTTGTACATAATGATTTAGATTTGTTTTAAAATCTACCGTTTTTTTTCTTTGCTTTTTATGATTTCTGGCATTATGAAAGTGTTCACGATGTCTGTGTTCTCTCTACTCCATCCATGGTTGCACTGTTTCCATAGAGGTGCAGGTCTTTATATTGTAGTGAGCCCACAGTGAGTAAAAATGTGGCAGAAGCAAAAAGAGTTCAGAGTGTTAAGAGAGATGTTAAACGTGCAGCTACAAAAACTCTTCTCACAGTACTTCTATTTATCTCACCTGCTTTTTCATTCTCTTCAGCTTTCAACTGTGTACAAGAGAAAAAATCGCAGACTGAGGGGCTTGTGTCCTGCTGAGGTTCAGGTGTTTTGACACATGAGCTGGGTATCTGAAGTTCTGAGGCCTTGGGCAGACTCTGTTCCTTTACCGCTGCTGGTAAGTGAGAGCTGTGAGAGGAGACAGTAGAGCAGAGGGTCTGACTGTCTGCAGAAGCTACCTCCACCTTCTGCTGCCCCTGAGAGAATGCTGCCAGAGACTGCATGGCATTGCTGAAGGTGTCGTGATGTCGGACGAGCTGGCGGACCCATTTCGACAGACCTGAGATTACACAGACGCACACAGTAGAGACAATGATACCAGACATCTTACAGTGGATAACTATTGCCATCTAGTGGTCAAACTGAGAGGCTGTGCAGGCTGACAAAGCCGGCATTGTGAAGAGTACCTGTGATGTACTTGTTAGGATTACTCCTGTACCGATCATCCACTAGAATTAAGGCGCCCCAATCATTCTTGTGGCGAATACACCTGAGAAATGAAATTTGAAAGCTTAATTATCAAAGCCCAAACGCAAACCTTGAAAGGTAATTAAGAGTAGTTTTAGAGGGCAGACTTACCTCCCCAGGGCCTGGTTTAGGGCTCTGTAGGCCTGGATTTCATACCAGCGATGACCTTGGAGAAGACCTCTAGAGTTGCAGTGTTGGTCGTTGTACTTCATCTTCAGTTCCACCTGCAACAGAATTAGTGGAATCATTATATGATTATGTTTTAGCTCATTGCACAATTATAGATGTATTTCAATATGTCAAAAACAAATAAAAAGAGTTTATTTTAAATGTGTTATCATGGGTGATCATAATAAGAACAAGATTATTTATCAAATGGAAAATTCACCGTTTTGGCCGCTGCTCTTTCTTTTCTGAGCTAATGATCTAACTAATTATTATCTTTATCATTAGGAAATTTGCTATTTTTTTCCCCATTTAATGAAATGCTCACTAGATCTATAAAATGTCCACAAATACTGAAACATGTCTATCATATGTTCCCAGAAACAAAGTAAAGCTTGTTTCACCTGAACAGTACAAAATAAATATTTTGATCAAAAATGATATAAAACAAATTCTTTTAGTGAAATGGAGCTGGTAAATGACTGGGATTTTATAGACTCAAAAAATAACTACAATTCTAATTTTAGTTATTTTTCAATTATTGATTCCTACCACTAACTTTGAGTACTAATTTCAAAGAAGTTACAAGCTACAAAAAGACAAAAGACTGCCGAACATACTACCCAAAAAACCCAATCTGCAAAGCAACAACCACAGCCTTGTGGCAGTACCTGGGAGGAAAGGTTTTATGTTGATCTAATGATGGAGAACAAATCGAATTAAAATTTAAAAATATAAGAGGCCACACCGAGTGGGAATCGAGGGCAAACAACCCAAACCCTAAACAAATATTATTCAGGGCCTGAAGTGGTGAGGTATTAGCTGCCCTCACAGACAGATGTGTTCTGAAAGGGGAACAGAGGGGCTAAAGAGAGGCCATGACGGAGTAGAGTGTAGGTAGGAGGGGGCAGACAAGGTGGTCTAGGCGACATGAAGCATCCCTGCACAAAAATGCCAGGAAAGCATCCATCCATTTGCATCTGTCGCTGCTGATTTTAGCGCTAACCTTTCAGAATTGACAAGTGAAAAGTTCAGCTGGCGTCTGACGGGATGCCATGCAGGGCAGGCTGCTGAACGGGGCTCTAACTGCTTTTGACAGGTACCGTGTGTTCGCCCAGAGCCACCAAACACGGGGGCCGTGGCAGGTACAGCCTGTTCCCTCACGCGCATCACGCAATGCCACTGTGGCCTGCCTCGGCTTGTGTACGTAAACAAACAAGCAGAGTCACAGGAAATCCTAAATGTCGGCCCAAAGTTGGACTATGACTAATCACACCTCACCTCAGAAGCATGCAAGCAGACATGCAACACCTGCCACCACGAAACATCTTAGCACAAAGTTTGATAGTTTGTAGAATGTAGGCCTAGGCTAGTCAGGAGATTTGAAATCACTTCCTTTCTGAGAACAATCCAACAGAAGCACAGGCTGTCAATGGAGTGAAACTCACGTAGCTGTATCACGACAAGTTTAAAAAATGCTGCTGGCTTCATGGTAAGACGTTTGCCAATGTATGAGACACCAGAGCAGTTAAAGAATCCACTTCTCAACCCACAGAAAGGCCGGTAGCCTCGAGCCGGCAGTGTCATCTAAATCCAATCACAGTCCATTTCAGCGTTCGAGCCATCACATCCCTGGTCTGTACCATGTCACCGTCCAATCTAACATGACAGGTTGCATATGTGAAAAAGCCAATTCTGGCTGCTAGCAAATCTCGCAAATGTGCAAGAAACCACAAGCTAGAAGGGATTAGTTAAAATGTCAAGAGATCACTCGTTTGCTTTGGCCTTGTCCTCTACAGCAACTTGTTCATCCCTAAAAACATATATTTGACCAGTAGGCATGATTCGCAGCTGAGCGCATCTGTTTGAGGTACATTTTACGCAGGGTGTGTGTGTGCGCGTCAGTGTCAGTGTGCACGCCCCTGGCAGTCCAGGACATCTTGTGCCTGTCACTGAGATTGCTGAGCGCCTCATCTGCCACATGTGGCTGAGCTGACAGCTGAGTGGCTCGTCTTCAAGACACTGTCCATGTGTGTGTGTGCCCACACTGACAAGGGCATCAGACTATCACACTCCTTTCCAATATGATCATGGATCAGCTCACACCATGTCTGCACAGAGTCCTACTTATTCTTTAATTGCTCCTGTCTTACATTAAACCCAAAAACAGGCTGGCAATTTAAAGCATAAATGAATAGAAAAGTCAAACAGCTTGATTTTCCGTGTCTGTGAAAAAGCCTTTTTTTGGATGGTAATGACTGAAAAGCGAACTGCATCAAACAGAGCTGTGGGGCCCTCAGTCTCAGAGAAATCTGTGCTGTTATCTCGGGCTTAGTCTTGGTCTCATGAGTATTTTGGCTACTTGTTGGGTCAAAACCTATTTGACCCAAGTCTTCAGTTTTCTCAGAGAACTTCTTCACTTGCATCATCTGTCTCATGGGTGTGTTCTAGCTCAGACTTGTTTCAGTCAGATGGGTATTTTTTATTCCAACCTGTCCAGGCCTCACCTTTCTTGACCACATCCAGTTTGCTCTGTGTACACACA